CGGAAGAGCCGCCCAGCACCGGCCTCCGCTCGCGGCCCCTGATAACGTAGTGTGTTTAGGGCCCAGTAAGAATGCAGCTGTCCGGGTTCTCTGGGCGGCTTGATCCACGGGTCCATCGAGCTGTCCTTGTGGCAGGACGGCAGGGGTCCTAGGGCCCTGGGGCAGGTGACCTTCCCGGAGAGCCCTTCTGGAGCTGGGTGCCTTCCCCAGAGAGTACCGAGACGGCTTTCCCCAGGGAGGAGGAGAGTAACCCGGACGGGGTCTATGCAGGACTGGCTGTCTCCCCCCTTGTCAATCTCAGGGCCTAGAGCTTGTCCTCAGGGGTGGCGTCAGGCTCCTGGCGCCCAGAGCACCCAGTGCTATCATCATCATCATCATCCTCATCATCCTCATCACCGTCATCATCACCGTCACTTATCACCAGGCCCCAGAGCCTGGCTGTCAGAGAGCCAGTTGTGCAAGGCCAAATGAATGGCGTTGTCTGGCAATCTCAGATGAGACACAGAGGGCAGGGTGTGTGTGTGGAGGGGGTGGGGGGCAGCATCGTGGAGCTTGGTCTGGGGAAAGTGTTTGATGCATCGTCTCGTCAAACCTTTGCTCCCCAGATGGATGCCTCGGTCAGGCGGCTTGGACGCAGGCCCCTGACTCAGGTGGAAGGCCGGGGTGGGTAATCACAGATCAGAAGGAGGGCGTGGGGGGGGGTGGCTCAGAGGCAGGGTGGCTCTTAATTAAACTCTGGTCTGATGAGCGAGGGGTTAGCCTTGTTGATAACCAATAATCGGTGATGGAGGAGCACAGGTGAGGCAGCAGCTGGATGGAAAGCCCAGGCAGCGAGCTCTGGCTGGGCGGGAAGGCCTGTGGCAGCCCCCAGGCACAGGGACCCTGGACCTACGCAGCACGGGGACCCCGGGGACCCCACCCCGGAGCGCGTCTTAAGCGTGGGGACTGAGGGCCTGAACGCCGTCGTTGCTGTCTTTGAACAGAGAGCTGGACGCTCCCCAGAGACCTTCCTCCTCTTGGTGTGGGTCCTGGAGGTGGGCAGGAGACAGAGTTTCAGACAGCCCTGCCCACCTCCCCTTCACCCAGTATCCCCGGTCCCTCCCTCCCCCACTTTCTTGTCATCGGGAGGAGACGATGCTACTTCTTATTCTTTATTTGCCCACAATGCCTGTTATTTTCTCTCTTTCAGAATCCAATTTTCTCTTGACATTTCTGCCTGATGTAGCAAGGCGTGACCTTTTGGAGAGGGCACTGCTGGCCCCCAGCTCTGGGCTGGGGTTCCTCACAGCCCTCCCGGCTGCCCCTCCCTCCGAGGAACAAGGCTGCCTCCCCGCCCCTGGTCCACCCCTGCCTCCCGCATCGCCAGCCCCACCAGCTGCTCCCCCAGGACCCAGGGAGCCTGGGAGCTGCGAGCCCCTGGGGGGCTGGGCTGTGGGTTTTGTTCCTGGGAGCACTGGTGCGGGCTCCGGGACTAAAGGCAGAGGCTGTGGGGTGGTCTCTGGAATCTCTCGAGGATCTCTGTCCCTCTCTAGAGGAGGGATAGAGGGAGCGAGGGAGGGAAGGAGATCTATCTGGATCTGAGCACCTTAGAGATTTATTGACAAACCTTCCCTACAGGCCAACAGCAGGAGAGACTCAGAGCATGCTACTGACGCCTGCCATTGTCTACCCCAAGTTCTGAGCTCCCAGGCTTAGTATGGTCACTAGGTAGGGACAGTAGCCCTGAGATAGGTGTGTGTGTGTGTGTGTGTGTGTGTGAGTGTGTGTGTGTGTATATGTGTGTGTGTGTGTGTGTGTGTGTTTCCCCATCTGGTCCTGGGGCTTGACCTCAGGTTCTGAGCCTCTTTGTGCTCAAGGCTAACACTCTTACCACTTGAGCCACAGCACCATCCGCCTTTTTTTGAGGAGTTTATCGGAGATGAGTCTCGTGGATTTCCCGGCCCTGGGCTGGCTTCGAATCGCCGCGATCCTTAGGTCTCGGCCTCCTGAGTAGCTGACATTGCAGGCGCGACTTGATTTCCTCCCGCTTCACCCCCTCCACGCAGATCCGCTGCCGTGGGGAGTGTGGCCAAGATTCTGTCCTTCTGTGGCCCCCCTGTGGCTCGTCTTCTGTCCCTTCTCCCCCTCCCGTGGGTGGGGGAAGGCCGGGGTTCACAGGGATAATCCCGACAGTCTTCTGGGACCCGCTCCCTGGCCAGCCTGTGCTGTCATCCGGGACATCTCGGGAGAGGTGGGGCCCTCCTGGGAAGACAGAAGTAACCCTGGGAACCGTGCACCCGGGCTTCCCTTCCCTTCCTTTCGCTCTTCACCCTCCATCGTGGAGTTGCTTTCCTGACAGCCATCCAGGGCTCTCAGAGACCGGCCTAGGCTCAGGCCGGCTGAGAGAGCCCAGCCGGCCCTGCCCTGGGGTTGTTCTCATGCCTGAATATCTGTTCTTATGGGGACTGAGTACACGCTCAACCCAGCGGCGTCCGTCTGGCAAGCGAATGGCTCCCTCACTTTTGCCATCTTCCTGGCTTGGTGTTCTGGAGGAGGAAGCTCACAGCCTTGCTGTGGCACCTGGCAGATTTCCCTGTCCCGTCCGTGATGGTGGCCCCACCCCCAACGCTTACCCTGAACTCGGCTCCTTGGAAAGACAAGAAGCATCTTAAGTGGTCTGCCAACTTCATTTTTTTTTTTTTTTT